TCTCGAGTACCGACGAATACACCGCGAGTAGTATACCGCGTGTCCAGCAAGATGACGTTGTAAAACCGCACGACCGGCGACACCAGGGTGACCTCACTCTCCGTGTCACATTACTCCGCGCCAATCGTATCTGCTTCGCGCTGGCAATCGCTGGGTATACACCAACACCCGCGCGTACATGACGTTCACGTCATACGGTAGATGATCAACAAGCAGAGAAAAAAAGAGGAGGAAATAAGAAAGAGAACCGGCCGCGGCGCAAAGAGGTCTGCAAGGTCTTGCTTCTCACTTTAGCCTTTTTCCCAGTTGAACGATGCCCGATCGTCTCTGTCTCTCTTTCTGTCGTCGAGCGGCTCCGAACGACCGGACGACATTAAGTGTAATTATGAATGAACGTTGTTATTCTCTGCAGGGTACGTAACGATGATACGCTGAGACGCGAGGCCCCGAGCGTCGAGAATGGAGCACACCGGGCGAGTACTGTGCTCCGCGCTGCTCGTCCTGTCGGCGCTGCACTGCGCGACGTCGACGCACCTCGGAGATGTGTTCGCGCAGCAGGCCGACGAGCCGTCGAGGATCGGCTGGCTCTTCTCCGACGGCGCCGCTCGGGCCAGGAGGATCCAGCGAGCCGTGTACGATCGCAAGAGGGAGTCCGAGGACGACGGCTCGCCGAAGATCATCGACAGCCAGTGCCGCAACAAGCTTAACCGGCTCTGCGGGGACATAGACAAGAACAACGACGAGCTCATGCTGCTCGAGTGCATTCAGACGTTCAAGGTACGCCGGCGTCTGCGTTACGCGGGCCGGCCGGGATAATGTTAATGGCCGTTTTGCCTTTGCAGCCCACCGAGATATCCGGGATCAATCAGAAGTGCCAGGAGGCAATCTGGTTCTACATCCAGAACATTACGGACAATGAGAACATAGAGAGGCTGGCGAGGAAGGCGTGCGGCGCGCAGCTCGACACCCTGCGCTGCTCCAGTTCCGAGAAGACTCACGGCGCTTACTTGTCTTGCCTGATCGACAACCGGGAGAAGGTCAGCGATCCCGACTGCATCACCTACGTCCAGAGACTGGAGTGGATCGCCTTCAGCGACTTCAGAATTCTCACCCCTTTCAAGACGGACTGCGCCAACGACATCAGGAAGTTCAAGTGCGACAGCCTGCAGCCGTACAGAGATATATCGCAGGGCCAGATACTGGCCTGCCTGCAGGAGCACGTCGAGCAGCTGCAGCACGAGTGCAGGAGGCATATTCTCCACGTGTCCGAGATCCAGGCTGAAAATATCAAGCTGGATCGTCAGCTGTACATGGCGTGCACTCACGATCGCATCAAGTTCTGCCCCAACATTAGACCGGGCAGCGGTCAAGTCTACAAATGCCTAATGAAATATAAAACCGACAGGTACGGACACTTGGCGGTTTAAATGTACGAAGATGTGTCGCGAGAGATTTATCACATAGTTCCATCTGGAAAACTTGTACGCTCATATGCTTTAATATTGACAGATCGATGACCGCGCAGTGTCAGGAGCAGTTGACAAGGAGAGAGAAGCTCATTGCCTCCGACTACAAGATTAGCAAGGGTCTGGTTAAAGCGTGCAAGGAAGATATCAGAAATAATCACTGCAGGCGGTCAGTGTCCGAGGACAAGGAGATCAAGCTGGCGCAGATCTTGCTTTGTCTGGAGTCGGCCATGAAGAACGGCAGCAAAATCGACGGGAATTGTCAAGCGGAAATGTTTGATCACAGGAAACTGCTGATGGAAGATTACAGATTGTCGCCGGAGATTGTGCACAAATGTGCCAACGATATTACGACTTTTTGCAACAGTCTCGAGGTCGGCGGCGCCACGATACACTGTCTGATGGAGCACACGAGAACGCGGAAGAAGAAATCGAGAGTCGCGCCGGAATGTCAAAGAGCGGTAAATAATCGATAGGGAAAGAAATTGAGAGTATCAGGAACCTTGAATCTTTCCGTGATGAATGAAGCCTATCACACGATGCCGGGCAACGGGCAGCAGGAACAGGGAATAGAATTTCCGACGCATTGGATTGGTTGGAAGAAAATTTCCGACGAATCCGACGCGTTAAAAATTCTATTCCCTATTCCTGTTGCCTGTTGCCTGGCGTTGTGTGATAGGCTTAACGCGTTTATTTACAAAAGTTCTCCAACATTTCTAAAAACGTTATGTTTTGACAGGTTTCATACTCCTTTTATAAAACGTGTATTATATAATTTCAGTTGGAGGAGTTAATTATGGAAGCTGACGCCGGTGAAGATTGGAGAATCGATCCGGTTCTGAGAGAACAGTGTCAACCTGTGGTCAATCTAGCTTGTAGAGACGTAAGTGACTTATCTTTACATACAAATGTCCAAATAGAAAACACTGTAGGCTCTGTATAAAGTTTTAAACTTTATTTTTTATTCACTCGTATATCTAATTTAGGTGCACGGTGGAGATGCGAGAGTGATATCTTGCTTGATGGAACAACTAGGAACGGAAAGGATGACCGAGGCCTGTGAGACGGCCTTAGTGCAAATACAATATTTTATCGCAAGGGACTTCAAACTTGACCCGCAATTGTACAGAGCGTGCAAGTTTGACGCCATGCGTTTGTGTCACGCGAGAAGCGCGTGGGCCGGCAACGGCAAACAGATGGACCCTGAGACTGGGCCTCTGGTGCTGCCATGCTTGTACCGGCACGTGTACCAGAAAAATATGACGGTAAGATTATCAAGATTATTAAATGCATAATTCATTCTTAATTGAAATAGATTAATAATTTTGATTTTGAACTGTGATAATTCACATTATTAACGCTTGTCATTATTCTTATCCGCTTCTTATTTATATTTAGCTGAGAGCGGATTGTTTGGAAGAGATTAGAAGAGTCATGAGGCAGCGCGCTATGAACGTCGACTTGCAACCCGAGATAGAAGAAGTGTGCTTTAATGAACTGGCGATGTTTTGTTATGACAAAACTGCGAAGGGAGAAGAGATTCTATGCTTGCAGGATAATTTGGAGAAGTACTAACTCTGTTAAATTATAGCGATTACACATTGAGAAAGATTTGAGGCTATATCGCTGATAATTGTTCATTATTTTATAATTATCTCTTTCCTGTAATGCTCCTGCATAATATCAATACCGGAATACTTTTTTCTAATCTTTTTCAGAAGTAGTTTTGAACTATATATCATTCCTGATAGATGTAAAAGTTTCTTAATCGAATCCGTTGATTGCAGCTTGAAAGAAAAATGCAAGTTTGCAGTTGGAAATTTTACCGAGGAACAAGCCGAGCGTGTCGAGTTAAATCCCATCATTTCTTCCGCGTGTCAACACATTATGGAACGTCACTGCGAGGTATATTGTGCCTTGAGTTGTCTAATTTACATCATTATTATGTTATCGATGATGTTCGCGCGTTTCAGGAAGTACTAAAATATGGAAAGGATGAAGGAGACATGATGGAGTGTCTCATCGAGCATAAAAACGAGCTGGATGCGCGCACCGATTACAAATGTAAAGCAGCCGTGGAACATTTCCAGCTGATATCCTTGAAAAACTATCATTTTACGTACAAATTTAAGGAGGCATGCAGGCCTTACGTCAAGAGATGGTGCCCCAAGTAATTCAACACTTCTCGATATACAAAATTTAAGTATTTTCAAACTTAAGAATAAATTGTAATAATACTTTGTAACGTAGATCAAAGACGAAAGCCGATGTGATAGAATGCCTGAGCTCAATTGTACAGGAAGATATAATGAAGGATTCTCAGCATCGTGTGGTGAAAGATTGCAGACAGCAACTGCGGGCACAACTTTATCAACAGCGAGAGAACATCCACTTTGATCCTGTTCTACAAGCGACCTGTGCAACGGACATCAAACAGTTCTGTTTTAATGTGGAACCCGGCAATTCGCAGGTAGCGATAATATCCTAATACCCTAAGATAGTGCTTGTCTTTTGTTTGCCGAATTTACATTGTAACTAGGAAGCTCTGATTTAAATGTTAATTTTTTAAATTTAAACACAATACCATTATGTTTTATTCTTTCTATATTAATTGATAGCAAGCAATTCATTGTGTCTCAAATCTTGTATTGTTGCTTCTTCGATTAGATGGCTATTCTAGGTAAATGCTATGATAAACTTTACTGAAACTTGTGGACTGTTTTAGGTATTAGAATGTTTGGCGTCGCACAAATCTAAACTATCGGACATGTGTCATAAACAGCTGTTCAAAGTAAGGAAACAGGAGTTTCAAGATAGCTCAAGTGATGTTCCTTTGTTGAGCATCTGCCGAGCCATGATCAAACAATACTGCCATGATGTGAGCAAGTCACAAACTTTGGATTGCCTTAAGAGATACAAGGACGAGCTCACTTTCGACGATAAGTGCAAAAATATTGTGGTCCGACGAATGATTGAGCAAAACACGGATTATAGGTTTAACACTGCATTGCAAAATGCGTGCGGCTATGACATCGATAGGCATTGCAAAGAGGTAAAGGAAATTATTTACACGCAGATAATTTAACGTAGCCCGATACATTAATTAATTCACAAAAAAACATTACTTTAGGTGTTGATACATGAACGCACCGACAAAGAACTCGAAGGGAAGGTAATTAGATGTTTGAAGATCAGATTTCGGGAATCGAAGCTGACGACTAAATGCGAGCTTCAAATGGCTAATATTCTCAGAGAGGCGGCTTTAAATTACCATTTAAATCCATTATTAGCAACGATGTGCGCGCATGAGGTAAAAAATCATAGCATTATAATTTACAGTTTAGCTATAGAAACAAAAATGTAGAAACTAATATTGAATAACTTACGTTAAATATTTTGAATCTTATTGTTGTGTAAGATTCTACAGTTACTGTGAAAGAGAGCGGGAGAATTCGACTTTAATTAAATTTACGAAATTCTTCTTCCGTTTCTGTTAGATTGAAACTATATGCCGGTCGGACGAAAACGAGCCTGGTGCTGTCGAGGAGTGTCTCAAAAGGAAATTCAATGCCGGAAATCGAGATATGAGGGAAGAGTGTCGTTTGGAAGTTGCAGATCTGATAGAACAAACCAAAGCTGACATCAACGTGGATCCCTTGTTGCAGAAAGCCTGTGCCGTGGATATCAGCAAATATTGCAGTGCTGTACCTCAAGGCGCGGGAAGACGTGCGTAATATCTTTAAATTAATAGCCACGAGCTAGAAAACATGTTTCGAAATTGAAGCTTGTCAAATTTTATTGATTTCTACATGCGCGTTAAGTATCTGAGCCACTATTGGTAATTTAAATAATTTTATTACAGATATAATGTGCTTGCAAAATGCGCTGGAGGACAGCAACAAATCCTTGCAGCCCGACTGCTACAAGATGCTAACTACAAGGATGGAAATGTTTAAAAATGCTGCCAAGGTTCGTGAAAAATACGTATTAATTCTTTTTGCATCGCGCATCGCGGAACAATCGCGCGAATATTGATTTTTACTTGTCGCGCTACAGCTGATCGCGCCAAACACGTTCGAGGAGTTATACTCGACGGTGAATCGTTCCCCAGCGCGTCGTTACTTCATGATCGTCGGCTGTACCATGATCGGGGTGATCTTCATCGTCGGTATGTTCTGCGGCCGAGTGACCAGGCGGACGATGATCATGAAGAACAAGTGACGACACAGCCGGGGCCCGTCCACTAGTGAAATGACTCTCGTGAAATTAGTCGAAGGATTGCGATAAACTGTAGCACGTGCGTCGACACGCCGTGCAAAGTTCACGACAAGAGGAAAACAGAAACATCGGGTCTTTTTATACCTTCGTTTACGAAGTTTTTAAAATGTGGATCTTTGTATTAATAATCGGGGGTATAGGCCACGGGATTTTTGACGTGGCCATTCGGTGCACGCGATACTATGCACAACGGAGAGGCGTTTAAGAATATACGACTATACATTCGAGGATTGAACAACGCGTGTAAAGAGATTTAAGTATTTAGAAATATACTATACGTTACTGTAAACATTATGATTCCAAAAATACAGGGTGTTTCTAGGGTTTGTAACAAGCTTCAAGAGCTCGTCGAAAGAAACGCTCTTAAGTTTCTTACAAGAAGTAACGTAGAGAAAACTATGTTATTTGATATCACGGCTTTATATTTCACAGATCGGGATCACTGCGAAAGAGAGGTACTGTAATTCTGAGGTAGGATCGAAGTCTGAGATTTTTACTGATTCTTTTTTCGAAAGAGCAATACTCTTTGGTTTTTTGTCCAAGTGAGCGATATTATATTTTACCTTCACCTACGAGAACTTTGTTTGAATACGAGGAATAAAAAAAAACAGTGAGATAAAATAACCAGCGAATTCATTCGCCTTCGTTCGCAGGAACCGAAACGCCAAAGATACTTGGAAACGTACGCCCAGACGAGCGTGTATACTGTCGTTATCCGGAGTCGGCCCTGATTTGGAAACTCGTGCGCGGAGAAGGCTCGTGAGTGGCGAAAATATAAGGCATAGTTATTCAAAGTGCCGGGTGCTCCGTCTCTTTTTCCACCTCTCCCAGGAGTTTCGCGCAATCTTGGCGATTGCAGCGAGAGAAAGAGAGCGGGAACATTGCCCGGGGGTTCGTCGTGGTGCCGGTTCTCGGAATAACCGGTACGAAGCGAGCGCGCAACGATTATTCCCGAGGGTACCTCGCTGGTCATCCCGCGGAAACGACTCCGCGTACGAGCGTGTGGGCGGGGGCGAAAGAAGGGCGACGTTTCTGTGACTCTTTCTAACGGGGCTCTCCGTACGTCGGGGTTGCGAGCGGAGCGAGTCCCAAATTGATTTAAATTCCAAAAAGACACGCGCGCTGGGCGGACGCGAGTTATTCCGAGTCTTCCACTTCGCAAGCCTCAGTTCCTCGCCTGTGGCTCTAAGCACGACCGACGAGCACGTATGCTCGTCGTGCGCCCTCGTGTAAATATATATACGAGAATTATAAGCTTTCATTTGTCACGAAATATATATATACGTACGTGTATGTATATGCGCGTGTGAGATACGAGATACGAGTAGCATTAATTATTTACCGCGATTCTGATTATCTTTTCTGGATAAACGAGCAACTTTAATCGCGATTGATAAATAGAGTAAACTTCGCAGATAGCATCAACGCTACGCAAAGGCGCGAATTTTCGCGCGGTGATCACGCGACAGTCCCGAAGTCGAGGTCGAAGGCGCGCTTAACGTTAAAACTCGGAAGGGGACAAAAGCCGAAAGGTCATCGTCAATTACATCTGCCATATTTTTAGTATTTTAAATATATAAATACATGATTAATTAACCGAAGACTTTCAATTTTGAAATTAACGAGCAGCAGGAACGGGCTTTGAGAATCAAACTTAATTGAGCATAAGTTAACGTTGTGTACCATTCAATTAACAATTCAATGCAAATTATAAATCGTACGGCTATATAATTACTTTGCATAATAATAAAATACGATTAATATAATGATAAAATACAAATTATAATTATAAGTCTCGCGCGATTTTATATAATTATTTTATACAATAATAAAATACAAATTGCAAATCGTTATTTATTACTTGTATTAAACTGTTAAATGTTACATGACGTTAGCTCACGCACAACTAACTGTGTTTGCCTCTCAAAGCCCGCCAGTCGTCTCCCTGATGAAAATAAAAATTGGAGCGTAAATCGAACGTAAGGGGAGAGTGACAGAAGCGTAAACGAAATGTGTAGGAAGCGTAATTTGGAACAGCGAAGCGTAAAAGAAACCTCAAACGCTTCTTTTACGCTTCGCTGTTCCAAATTACGTTTCCTACACATTTCGTTTACGCTTCTGTCACTCTCCCCTTACATTCGATTTACGCGCCAAATTCTATTTTCACCAGGGCTCGTTAAAAACTACAGTACTTTCGATTAAAAATGTGAGAATTGCTTCAACGACCGATTAATTGTTATCTTAACTTGTAGAGCCGATCCTTCACGAGTTATCGTGTCGAGCGCACGTCGTCGGCAGCGATTTTTTTTCTTTTTTCCCCCCCGGCGATTGTCGTGCGATCGGCAAATGCGTTCGGCCGCGTTTGAACGGGACGGGGTGTCTCCGCCATGTTTACTTTGCGCCGCGCGCGAAGCCAGTTGGGAAAATCGTCGCCCCGTCCTCGCTCGCGCTTTCCGCTCCGTTGCGTTGAGTAAATTACCCAGTGAAATATTCGCGCCCCCGCCGAACGGGGCGCATAATGGAGTTAATTAGCGCACGCTGCCGGTCGCGAGCGGTCGTGCTTGCTCGATATTCGCAATTATCCGCGCTGATCGCGCGGCATCGCGCGCCCCGGCTCGCGCCAGCGACAACGGGAAAAAGAGAGAGAAAGAGGGAGAGGTAAAACAAGTAAACTAGAGCGCGAATGTTTTCAATCTGCGAGACCGAGTTTTAATCCTCTGAAAAAAATCGCCGATTGAAAAAAGTTTTTAAATAAATTTTTCGACGACAGTTTTTCCCCGGACGGGAATATTAACTGGTTCAGCTCCTGTATCAGCTTTTGTCTCTCTCTTTTTTTTCGTTCTTATTTATTTGAACGGAGCGGAGTTTACGATGAAATTTTTCCGCGCTCGTGTATTTCACGTGGGAGCGGAAGGAGGGGGGAGGAAGGTGAAAAAGTTATCTTTCGACCGAAAGCGAGAAAAGAGGTTCGGTTCCCCTCTTTCGAGGCGTAACCCTTTTTGCGTCGTCTCTCCCGCGATACGGGTGCAACTTCAGTACGTTCTTTCCCCGCGCGCGCGCGCGGTACATCGATATCTCGAAAAGGACGGTCTCGATGGCGATCATCTTGCCCGAACGCGGCGCCGGAGGACGGAGGTGAGATATCAGTTTGGCGACTTTTTACACGGGAATCGCCGATCGAATCGGCACGTTATCGTCGCACCCGCGCGCGCGCGCGCGCACGCGGGTGACCCGCTTATTAGGCTCGGTTTCACCAACGTTGTTTAACTTAATTCGTTCTTCGCCCCTTTCCAACGGTTACTCTAGAAAGAGACAAACTAGAATGAAAGTTAAGCGACGTTTGGTGAAGCCGGGCCCTAGACGCCGCGCGTTTTGCTTTCGGGCCGTTTCACGTGATCGAGGGCGATCGGAGCGACGCGAGCTCGCAAATCGGTATCCTCGACGGAAAGGACGGACCTCGACATCGGCGTCCTCGCCGGAAGCCGGCGAGATTTCGACGCGGCGTCCTTGGCGGAAGGCGGAGGACCTCGACTACGACAGGGAGACAATCCGGTAAGCGGACTCTTCGCAAATAACATTAAAGCCTCCGCTACAATGATTCTCGGTTCTGTCTACAATGGTCGCAGTCTTAGAATCGTAGAGTCATGGATTGGGTCGTACCGATGTATAACTGAAACCGATTTTCTGTTTTTGAGGTATTTTCCCACGATATATTCGACATATAATGACACACGACATATATCACTATTCTCTAATTGGTCCGTCGCGGCAATAAACGCAGTCGTGGTCGTTGGAATAGGAATTGAACCTATTCGAGCGACTACGACTACGACTGCTTTGCGACTGCTCAAGCGACCATCGATACAACTGTACGACCATTGTAGAGAGAACCGAGAATCATTGTAGCGGAGGCTTAAGGCCCGGTCTACAACGAGTTGTTAGTCGTTAGAAGTCCGAACTATATGTCAATCCTTTTCCCTTCTGGGTGAATATAGTTCGGACTTTTGACTAACGGCTAACGACTCATTGTAGGGGCTGACAGTTTCATAATGTTTAATGTTTTAATTTCCTACTCTGACGTGTTGATCCGCCGACGAATAGATCATCCGGCTAGCCTTCCGTGTCGTAAGAGGCGACCGAGGGGCATTGTGGTGTGCAGATTTGCGACATTACTAGATATTTTTGGGCATTAGGTCTTGTTGGGGCATCATGAAGATGAAGTAAGATAAAACAAGATGAATAAGATAAAATAAGATAAAGTAATGTCCACTGGGCATTAGTAGGCATTGGTGTACGTGATTGTGGCCAGTGGTTTACCCCTCGGAGGCGACTAAGGCCCGGTTTCACCAAACGTCGCTTAACTTTCAGTTTAGTTTAATTCACGTTTGTCTCTTTCTAAAGTAACAGTTGGGAAGAGACAAAGAAAGAATTAAGCTAAGCTTAAAGTTAAACAATGCCGGTGAAACCGGGCCTGAGGCCCTGTTTTACCAAACGTCGCTTAACTTTAATCTTAGTTTAACTCGGTTTGTCTCTTTCTAAAGTAACAGTTGCAAAGAGACAAAGAACGGATTAGACTAAGCTTACACTTAAGCGTCGTTTAACTTTAAGTTTAGTTTAATTCACGTTTGTCTCTTTCTAAAGTAACAGTTGGGAAGAGACAACGAACGAATTAAGCTAAGCTTAAAGTTAAACAACGCGGTGAAACCGGGCCTGATGGGGCCTAAAAGTCAAGTAGCCGAAAAGGCAAATTAAAGAGAGGGCAAAACACAGGGAAGATAGAATAGAGAATATCAAAGGGACAGTGTACGCTAAATGACCAAAAGATCGACGGCGTTCCCGTAAAGGGAAAACATTTTTTTTTCAATTTCCACTCAACGCTATAAATAGAATATAAAATACGTTGTACATAATAGTTACATTGTTGAGTAGCAAATTGTAATATTGCTATTATGTAACAGTTACGTAAGCATTGCCGGAGGGTAATCGTTATGAGATCAAAAAGGATTCACTTTCTTAAATTTCTTACGAAGTAGCGGGGTCTGTTGAAAAACAATAAATGGACTCGGAAGACTCGACCCCCGTGTCTTAATTCAAAGAGGATCCCACAGTGGGATACCTTTTGACTTTTTACGGAAGTAAATTAAAGTTGTCCCGAATACCTGAAGAATTCCTTTTGTTAAAAGGAAAAGAGCACAGAAGTGGCGACACAGGAGCGAATTCTTTTTGAACCCTTGGGAATGTTTCCCGAGCAGAAATTGAACGAAAAGAGGAGTTCCCTTCGTAATACGGGAATTCGAAAGGAAATCTTTTTAGGCTCTCTGTACTGCCCGGGCTCACATCACGACTGTCGCATTTCGGGCCACAGATCGTACACTGATAAAAACGCTTCACGCATGATAGAATGTATTTTGGTTAAACCAAACCAAGAATTTCTAGTTATCACGATAGGGCTCGATATCTCATAACCGGAAGTTTGATAGACTTCATTACACATCTAGTAGATCCTAAAGAAATTCTGATTCGTCCATTTTCTAACAGACGACTGGTTGAATCTACCAGATTTCTAATTAATGCAACCAGATTTTCTTGTCGGTGTATTATTTTGAAATTTGTTACTCGTTGACTCGTTGCCTTTTCAAATGAGCTCAGCGAGTTTGATATTAAGCTCCGTCTCCAACCGCAGACCTCTGTACATATGTGTTTTCCCGTATCTAAGACCTCGTTTACACCGATTGTTTGATACGCGTGTCAAATAGTAAATAACTTCTAAATGGATTCAGTCGTTGGCTGATCGGCTGAAATACACTATTTGATACGCGTATCAAACGATCGGTGTAAACTAGGCTTAACACTCGGCGTTTTTGTGCGCTTGTCGCACCTCTTTTTTTCTCTCTCCTTTTGTCTTCTTGCTCGTGCCGCGCACATTTGTCTTTTTTACAATTCGCACGATCCCGAGTGGCCGATCACGATTCGATCAACTCGCTGTGATTTTTGGGCTTCCCTTTTTTTGTTTTACCTCGCCCGAAACGCGCGTTGTTCGCACTCGGGGAAAAACGAAAGGGTGTTTGGTTGCAGCGGGAAAATTATAAAAAAACATAAAACGGGGAAGCCGTATTCTCCCTCCCGGTAGCGTTCTCGCGCCGCGCCTCGTTGGCAGTGCTATCGATAATTTCACGTGTCACGCGATACGGCGCTTGTAGGGAAACGGATTTATTCGTGGAAGTTCTGCACAAAAATTAGTAGTTACGTTCCAAATGTATTCAGAATTCGCGTTTCAAGTTAAATGCACGCTGGTTGAAAGCAAAGAGCACTTCTGACGCCTCGATAAACCTCGTCGATAGACCTTGCTGACGTCTTCACAGAATGGAACGTCCGAGTTCTCTCTCTCTCCCCCTCTCCCTCCCCCCCCTCTCTCTCTCTCTCTCTTGTCCTTTTTTGTCTATTTTTATTTAAATTAGCCTGCTTAATGGATTTACCTCGAATATTACGATTGTTTATTCCCTTTATAGCAATATAATTGCGCGACAGGTTGCATTATTTGGAATTGAAATCCGTTGATTCGCGCTTTTCCAAACAAAGCTTAATGAGCTTAATATTAGCTGTCCCCAAATATAGGCTTTCATATACGTATTGGTCGTATTACTTTTGGGGCCTCAAATATTTACGATACGGAATGAAACGGGATGAAACATAACGGGCGAAAAAAATCGGGTCAAATGAATAAAGATGACGTTAATGTTCAATAACAGTTGGCAGACGACGAAAGCGTTCTCTGTTTTAAAGTAAGAACTCGGGGCAAACGCGTACGCTCGGGTTTCGCATGTATAAATCTTTAATACGAGTATACGTACACTGAAGGGAGATTCAAGAGCGGATGATATTACAGTAAGTGCATGTCTAGGTAAGATCAGCTGTTGAACGTGAATCAATATACGTACGTGAGGAAATAACCGCGGACAAAAGTATCGTATTGCGTATTTAAAACTCGCCGGTTGGAACCGTGTGCTGGCCTGTTGGAGGAAAGTACAAAGCGAGTATAATTCTTTTAGAGCAAATAACGGGGCGATATTTGTCTTTTCGGAACATACGTAACTAAATCAACAGCCGGGCCGTTAAGATAAATTACAAGATGAAATAGAAATGGGCAAAAGAAATATATTTTCAGCGCAAACGCTTTCGGAGCGAAACTGTGGACTTAATTTTTATCGGAAGGGGGGTGGGGCTGTTTTCACAGATAATACATTTTTATTCGACGTTTCGCGGGGGAAAAAAAAGTTATTTATTCACCATAAACGTAACTATTTATTCGCGTTTTTCACGCTGGCCGCTGCAATCTTTCACGTTCAGAGCCTCGAGTCCCTCCTTAACGCAAATATAAGGTGGCATAATTCCGTATAAATCGCGCTCCCCTTCACCTGGCTAATTTCTTTTTCTCACGGAAGCGTCGAGACGCGAATGGGCTTGTCGAGCTAAAAATCAAGGGCGCCTCGCGGCCGCCGACGCATAACCCGAGTTTATTATTAAAACAATTTCAAGCGGGCGTCGATATGTAGTAAGACGCGCGACACTCGCTTCCGAAAGTTCTGAAAACTGCGCGGCCCGTTTTCTCGAAAACGCGCAATTGAAGCGCAGGCTCCTCCGCCGCGGGTGGCAGGTCCATTTTATTCTTACGCTTCCCACCAGGAAGCACAAAACGGAGATGGCGCACCGAAGATGAAGATTAAGATCTAGATTAAGCGTCGGGATGCCGGTGCGAGGCTCGTTGCATCGGCAAGAGAGAGGGGTAGATCATGCGCCCTGCATTCACACATTGGTTGGCACGAAGGGTGGCGGGTTTTCCCAACCCTCGCCGTCAGTTTGACGCCGCGTGCGAGCGCATACAGATCCGTCGCGATCGCCGACTCGCGCGCGCGAAAGGGAAGAGAACCGGGGAAGATTTGAGAGAGAGATAAAGGGAGAAAAAGAGAGAGAGAGAGAAAAAAAAAGAGAAAAAGTTCGCTGTTCTTCCAGGGAATCTTCGTCGTAAAATGATCGCCGGCAGGACGAGTCTGCACACTCGGTCCGTCGATCCAACTTGAAACTCGATGAGAGGCGCGAAAGAAAGAAAAGCACGCCGTCAGAGATTCGCTGCCTGTAATGTAAGGTGAATCGCACGCGGGTTTCTGGTTGTTGTTTTTTTTTTAGGAGACGCGATATTGCGAGAGTTCGATTCGTGCGATTGAAAGGACTATGTCGATGCGCGTTAATCCGATTATCAATCGCGAACATTTATGACCGATGACGGATGACCGATTATGAGCGATTCATGTACAATTGTTCGGAAGCGATTAATACCGCCGATTTAATGCAAAATAGAATTCTACAGGGCATTGTTGATTTATCGAATTAATTGAAAAAAGGGTAGTACGCCGGTTTTGTTTTTTGGGATTTCCGCTCTTTTCGTATTTGATTTAAACAACGCGGGGATGTATGCGACGCGATTCAATACGCTGTGATAGAAAGAATGGAATTAATCGCCGGATATTGTTAAAAATGAATTGCGTTTTGAAATGCACGTTTGGGTTTTTAATCCGTAGGGACAATGCGGCTTTTGTGAATCAACTTTCAGAGACAATTTCATAGGAATTGATTAGCAAGAAAATTACACCGGTTTCTCGGCCGCGCGAAAATAAGAGGATCACAGAAAATTCCCTTCGCTCATCGTTTCTTTGGTTTCGAAAGACACAGGTTAGATTCTCGCGGTTCTTATTTCTACCTCTTACACTTTCTTTCCTTGAAACAGGGGAAAATTCGTGAGGATCGCTGACGGGGAAATGAAATTAATTGTCTGATATTATCGGGCAATTCGGAGGAGTCGAGCAATTCTCCTTTAAAATGATTAATTCGATCGATTAAAAGCGATATTTTTCCGCGTGTAAATAAAAGTTTTGTGGTTTTCGGTATTTCGCCGATTATGATGTGTGTGAACGAGAGAGAATGAAGTTTTATATAAAACCACGGGACGTTTATCAAAATATCGCGTTAGTTAATCTGTAATCGAGCATCGAGCATGCCTCAAAGCAAAGTTATTAATTTGCGTAATTACGGAACAATGTGTCGTTACGGATTTAATTTTCGCTAATAGGAATTGAATTGTTGGCGACTTTTAACGTCAGTTTCGCATGGCCGTTTATATTCCTGATGAAATCGCGAATATCGCGCTGCCACTCGATATTTTCGCGAAAGTTGACGATTATCATATAATCGAAGGCGCATTTAATTTGTGTGATTTACTATTACGGCAATTTGCGTCTGTATATTCTTGCTCACGTTTTGCATTAAAATTTTATCGCTCGTCCAACGTTGTTATCGAAAGCAGGAGTAATTTGCGATTAAAATTGACGACGGAAGCACGCGCGTTTTACGAATTTATCCACTTGACAACTGTCCACTTAATTACACGGGGGTAGAAAGTGCGCGTAGCGGTAAGCGTTACATAAACGATTACGATTGTTTGACTAAACAGGCGGACGAGCAAGGAAATAACTGACCAACGGGACAAATAAATATGTTCTCGGTGTGTACGCTTTCTGTAACAATTAGGTACGATGTTTGGTACGTCAACACTATCGTTAATCGCTGGTGGATCGAAACGGCGGCACACGCCAATGGGTGAATTTGCCGCGTGCCAATTTTCGATTAAAGTACCGTCGATACGCCGCGGATATCTGCACTACGCGCCCACGATTCGCCGCGCAGCGACATACGACGCAATGTGAGTGTGCCGTAATCTATGATCATGTGTGTGAATCGCGAAATCGGGATTGCAAAAGAGACAAATCAGGACGGTATCGTCAGTGGGAATCTCGATTAATTGCAATTTGCACTTGTGTGAAATTGCCGCCGAAGAAACGGAATCGTATCGGAATCAATGGAGAACTTTTTACCGCTCCGAATCGCGGCCGGGGTTGGCGATCGCGCGCGATAATTACACGCGATGAAATTGTTGATCAGTCATAACGATACGATCCGCGCCCGGCTCGGAGGATCGATTTGAACGAATCAATGTGACGCCGCTCGAGAGATATCGAGCAAAGGCTTTGCAAAGGCCCGGCCTTTCAATCGCTTTTCATATTCGCCGATCGCCGATCGGTCCAATAACGCATTAGCGCCGGGATTGGATCTCGGCAAAACTCTGATCCACGCGAGAGCCCCGCAAAAATCGACCGAGAGGCGTACCTGCACGTGGAAAATCGGATTACCGTGCGAAAGAGAGAGAGAGAGCGAGAGCGAGAGAGAGAAAGTGAGCCGGGGGAGACTGGGAGAGACGTCTCGATTAGTAGCCCGCGCAAAAACACTTCACGCGCGGTCTAATCTCAAGAGCAACGAGAACGGATCACCGACAGATCGATTTACCGCGAGGTATCCACCATTGAGAGCCCGTAGTCGTGGAGCGAGCGTGAGTTTCGCTGGTAAAAAAAAAGGAGGGGTAAAAAAACAAACATTGAAATAGTGCTAGTTTCGGGCGGAAGATAAGTTGATTGTTGGAGATGCCGAGAGGAGCTATTAAGTATCGGCTCTATTAAGGGATACCATCCATTAAGGACCATACAGTCTAGAGAGATGTAAGATTGCACGGAGGATTCTGAGGATGCTGCGCCGCACCGAGTCGTATTAAATACTGACGAAGAAGCTGTAAGATTGCGAAGATGTTAGAGAGCTATTCTCATCGGCAATAGGCAACTTAAATTAAAGGGCAGAAATTGAAGGGAGAATGTGAGGGTCGTTAGAACAAACTCCTTATCTTGAACGATCTCGTGAAATATCGTATTCTTAGTGCCGTAATTAGACGCGAACGCGGTGTACGCGCGACTGTTGCTGAAAAATTGATAGCCGTAGCTGTAAGGTGAAATTAATCTCGAGAAGTATCGTAATATAATCGTACATGTTGTCGGGGGCGAGATGGATGACGGTCACTTTATGGCGACGTTGAAATTAATTACGGGGGAGAGGAGAGTGTTAAATTGATCTGAAGAAACATATAATTGCGCACTAATGTATCAAGCATGTCACGTTATCGCGAGCAGCTGTTGCGAGCCGCTGTTACACGCGAACGATAATCACGTCCTGGAGATGTCGGGATTGAGATCGATCAGGCACGAGGAGACGTGCAATCGCGAGTGGATGTAACAAGCGGACGGTTTGTCGCGAACGGGAAGATGAGCGGCTGAAGATGAGTACGTCAGGTATCTGGTGCGCGCTCATCCTGCTCACGTTCACGCAAGATTCCCTCGCCAATCATCACGAGAAAGCCCTCCAGATCGAGAAGCCGAAGGAGTATTTGCGGCATCAGCAGAGCCACCGCTCGACGGCCCTCGTCGACCGCAAACTCGTCGACCCGACGGGATTCCACGGCGCTGAGGTCCGCCCGGCGATTATTCATCCGATCGCGGAAATCGCTCGCCCGGGCTCGGCGGCGGCGACGGCGGCGGCGGCGGCGGCGGCGGCGGCGGCGTCGGCGGTGACGTCGTTAAATCGCCGCCCAGAAAGTCGTCGCGCGGAAATCCGTCCGATAATCGCGCGAGATCGCGTCGCGAACCTCTTCCGGCCGACGGAGATCCATTCCGCGTACGAAAATCGTCTGCGCGCGGATAATCGTCCTTCGGAGATACGCTCGACCTCGGGGAATCTCGGCGGAATCGTGGAAATGCGCCCGACGGAGAACCGTCGTGCCGCGGCGATACGCTCGGCGGAGATTCTCTCGACGTCGGCACGTTACACCGCGGAAATCGCCCTTGATCCCGGAAAAGTTGGCGCGGAAGTTACGGAAGAGCGTGCCGCGAGAATCCGCCCGGCGGAAACGCGTCTGCAAACGGAAGACCGTCGTTCCGCGGAGGAAGTTTCGCCGACGGAGATCCGACCGATGGAAATTCTTTGGACGGAGATCGAGCAGGCGGATATGTCGAGCATCGAGAGATCGCAGATCCGTCACGGAAGATCCAGGAGCCATTTCGCGCGGCAGAAGATAGAAGATTCCGCGAGGGATAGCGCGAAGGATGCGGCAAATAGGATCAAGACTGAGGATCATGAGAATCACTTCAAGACGCGTCAAGTGGAAAAAGTGAGTGATTTTCCGGAAGGATCCGTTTCGCCGAAGCGTAATCATTCTTGGCTTCTTGAGCGGAATTTCTCAAAGGATAACTCGGTCAACAGCCAATCTCTCGATCGAATAGAGAATAATGTTTCCGAGGGGCTGGAAAGTTTGTTCAAGCTGTATCAGGGTAAGAGAGGAAGCGTCGCCGAGGAAAATTCTGCTCTTCTTCCCACGCGTAATCTCTCCTGGCTGATTGAGCGGAATATCTCCAAAGATAATACGAACAGCCGACCGTTGGATCGGATCAAGGATGAGACTTGGAAAGACCTCCAAGATACACTTAAGGTGCATTACTCGGAGAACCACGGTGTTCTACGATCGAGCCCCGATTCCCTCAAGAGCTCTTACAAGGACGACCCCCTGAGTAAATTGAGGAAGGCAATATCTTTAAATAGGACTGTTGCGCCGGCAATTGCGAACGACCGTAACACCACGGAGACGCTCGGCATCGACGCGCTCGAGGACATGAGCGAATCCACTCGTGACCTCGAGGAGGAAGTTGCGCAGGACGTGGTGCTGGATTACACGAGTTTCGAGGAACCGGCGAACGCCTCGTCCTCCGACCAGTCGACCCGCAAGAGACCGCAGGCCGCCCAGGTCGACATCGTCACGCGTTTCCTGCGAATTATCGAGAACCAGCACACCTTGGGCGAGAACTGCACCGCGGGCACCGATTTGAACCTCGGCGAAGGCGTCGTCGACCAATACGCGCAGGAGAGATTTCGCCTGGAGGCGGAATTCGCCGTAAATCGTGCCAACATGCTCACCCGGCTCTGGAAATACGCGCCAGAAGTGATGCTGTCCTCCGAGTATCTTCTGCACGCGAGCGTTCTCTCCATGGTCGAGTTCGACGAGGACATCTTTGCCGCCGGCAATTGTTACGACAAGTTGCAGTATCGAGATCGGTGGTTGTACTGCCCGTTCGCTCACCGGCTGCCCAACCAGGACGGCATCCTCGTCAAGGACCTCGCGATCCAGTACAAGTACTTGAGCAACAGCAGCGAATGGTTCTACATCGCCAGGAAGAACGCCGAGAGGGTCATTGCCAGTTACGAGCAATTCAGCCGAGGTAAGCTGTCGCGGTTACTATTTTCTCCACTGCAATTATTGATATTGCTAGGTCGGCAAACCAGCGGTATAAAAGTGGTTGATTGAAGCTTTTCAAGTAGCCGTTCGGTAGATTAAGCCGAGTCTTCTTCAAGTAAACTTTTCTGAAAATTACTTAAGATATACAGGACGACAGTAAAAGCCAAGCTAATAAATACATAGAAAAGAGAAATGGGTTATTTGCCGAACGAATTATCGCTTACATTAATTTGTACAGGAGATTTACTTGAATTTGTAAAAGACAATAGTTACTCATATTGATTATAATATTACGCTGGAAAAGAAAAAATTTTTAGATTTGAATTGACGTCACGAAAAACTTCTGTGAGAACTCTCGCAAAATTTACTTATCGCACATGTCCGACGACTCATAAATATTATCTTTATAGTTTGCAACTGTATAGAGCAGATATTGAGCGAGTTGATAACAAAACGCGGCGCGGACGTTCACGAATGCCCGCAAGCAAAATTACAGCAGCCATGTACAGCCGTACACAGCGGTCAATTAGTTTAGCAAGCAATAGTAATAGGTAGTTGTGTAACTGCAGCGATAATTATAATATGATACTCAAATTTATAATATATGTTACCAACAAGATTGTTACTCCATTATAATACGCTGGGAAACACGTACATACTGCGGTAACTGCTTTATCACTGTTATTACTTTTTATTACATCGTACAGTTTACTTCACTGATTGGATATATTGCCGTTGTAATTGCCGATTCGGAGTGCACTATTATATTTCGTGTCGCTACATTCGGTGAATATTACTGTCTACCTCGGGCACTTCTTATCTTAACTGTCTTTTTTTTACGATCTTTTCTGCTTTATGCTTTTATACACTCGTCTGCAAGACGATGGTGCTTGCAGATGCCCGCGAGGCATCGTCCATCTGTCAACTTCTTGAATAAACTGTTCCATTTTTAGCAGACAGCTGCAATGATTACATTTTCAACTTAATCTTTTTCGCTCCACAAACTGGAAGTGTACGTTGTAAAAGAATTTCTCTATTTAATAATTTTAATCCGTTTAATCCACTATATTTGATTAGCAAAAAATTTAACAATTATTTTTTAGAACAAGGAAAATCCTGCTGCTATTTGCAGTCATTTAATTAACACTAATTAATTACCGTTGGGCAAATTATCCATCGCGGACTTACGGAAACTTTTTACGTGACAATTTTGCGCAATAACGAGCCGTGTGAAGAAAAGTCCGCAATTTCCTCAAGTTCACAAAGAAACTTTTATTTACGATGAGGCATATCGTCCGTTTATATAAAGCTGATTCTATATTTTAAGATTCTATATTTTAAGACGCATCGTTTAAGACGCAAAGAAATTGTGCCGCGCTCACTTTCTATGTAGAAAAAAAGCACGTCACATTGTAGTGAATATTTTCGAGGAAAAAAACTTTTTTCTTCAATGCCGCTTAAATTGCTCAAGTATAAACTTGCGAAATATTGCTCTTCTCGGTAAACGATTTAAGCTTGTTAACCCTTTACCGTGTAACTTTTTTAATCTCGCCGATGCGATGGTAGGCAGACGTCCTTTTTAGGGTGCGTGCGAGGAAAGAAGTCGTACAACACAGATACGGGTAGAAACACAAAAAAAAACCGGGTCATTTCTGATTATTTCATTATCTTTTAAATATATTAATGAAATTATCTACCTCCGTCTGAGGTCGTAATTTCTATCTTTTTCATGGCGAGAGAAATTTTATTAATGCTGATTTAAGTAAAAACTTGTTGACGAAACATTTTCTCCCTTTAGGCTATGTACAAGTATATACATATATACATAAAATGTTTATAGTTTAATATATAAATTTATATAATTTAATTATTGAACAAAAAGGAACAAATTGTATTTAAATTAAAATTAAAAATCTTAATCTCTTGATTTGACTGGCATAACATTTTTTACATGTTTTTTGTTGAGAATAATTTTGTAACAGAATGTAAATTACATATATGAAAGAGTAAAATCAAGGGAGAAATGGATGAAGATGTATGACACGTTTGTACTTAAAAATTTAGTCGTTCAGATATATATATATCATATTTGCATGCATACCATAAGTTACATGTATCAATTTTATGAAATATTTATCGTTGCATTACGTACGACATGTTGTAGCTTTTTTATTTCTGTGCTAAATAATTTAATGAAAAAAATCATATTTATCAACGATTAGGTGTCAATGGCTTTTCATCCACGAACTTTTAAATTAAAACATCAAATGAAGCTCTAAAGAGTGTGCAGATAATTCTAGTCTTATCTTTCAGTTATATTTAAATTTATAATACTTAGTAATTTTAATTTGAAACTTGGTTACAAAGTTGATTAATATAGAAGAGTAAAGGTGGAAGCGAAAGAGAAAAAAGTTTCTCTATGGAATATCATTCTTCTCTTTGATGGAAAGGACGGATTGCACGTGCTGATGGAATCGAAATCTTTGTCGATAGTCCGGCTACCAGTGGGATTCTCCAGAGTAGAAATAACTTAAGCAAAGGACTCGAATTGAGTTTCTTTTAACAAGACACGGACAATGTTTCTTAGACAAAGTGAAACGAATGCCTTTCTACAACTTGAAATTCTCGAAACCATAATCTCTGATCTTTCACATTTTCATCCGCATCTGTGTAATTGACTTATCTTCGAAAAAAAACGTCACTAATTAAGAGACGGTCACTTATTAAAGGGACGTATTACTCAAAAGAAATTTTATATAAGAGACGAGACGACGGTGCTATGGTTCAGCAATGCGAACGTTCGACATTTGTTTAAAGTAGATGGGGAATTTCACGGGAAAGTTTAAGAAATATAAGGTAAAAGAAAGCTAAATACAGCTGTCAAAGAAATCAATTGGATAGCGAGGAAGTGATATAAGGGATATCGATGAGTAATGCGTTATGGTAGAAACTACCGTTGCGCTGCTTTTCTTATTTATAGGACTTTTAAGCAGTATTCCATGATGTATGTCGCGTACGTTGAGCCAAGCAGAGTAAAAGTATGCGTTACATACAGGAAGTTACGCGATACATCTCAACGCATATATTTATTAAATGCATTATGCATCAGCAGGAAAGAAATCTGATAAGAGATAAATATTTTGATGAGTTTGCGCAGACGTATTAGGATGCATTTCGCAGACGTTTACAACTCAAAATTAATGTTGCGAATCAGTAATTAATCTTCAAAAATAAAGCGAGCCCCGAAATTGGGGAGAGAAATAAATGGAGAGACAAATAAATATTTCTGATGGGATTCTTAATTGCGTCTTCAGCGTTTTCGACTGCAAGAACGAAGGACGTAGAATCCCGCAAGGGCGGTTCTGGGAAATGTCCAAGAGATAACAAAAATAGCCGAAATAAACCATCCGCGATATAATGCGAGTTCAAAAAGTATCGTAGCGCGCCATATATTTTCATTTTTACCATGGATGCCTCGCGTGTTGCGAAATCATCCGTCATTTACGTCCCCGCGGAATTACGGCGCCTTTGTTATGCGTTCGTATTCGCAATATGAATTTAATACCGAATCCTTTGTGCACGGCTGTTAAATTAGAAATTCAAATAACCCGATCATTTCGCATTCCGCGAGTGCTATCGAATACTTGGCATCGATCATTTCGTTGGCGAATTTTCAAGCGCTCCGTATAATAAGATGATAATGGTTAAAATTATAATGATTGTATATCGGTCGTGAATACATACAAATTGTTTTATTCCTTTGCAGATTGCAATCCCGCCGCTAATTATTCAGTGCTTATCCCGATGTTCAAACGAAACTTGTACGAAAGAGAGAGAGAGAGGGGGGGGGGGGGGAGAGATCGTGCGATAGGAATGATTATAATCAGTATTGTTCGAAGAATTTGTACGGTTTGTTTTCGAGTACAACCGCTTCATTAATTATACGGTCATTATTATTAATTATAATAATTTCCGACGTGTGAGCTCCATTATTTTTTATTGAGAATTTTTACAGTAATTATCCGATGCCAGCAATGCGCTCGTAGAAAGTAGAAGTTTTTCATTACCGAGATGGGATTGGAAATCGACCTTAGTATTCTTATTAGCGAAGATTCCGAGATCTCAAATATTTTTGTCTATCTATTTTTCATTTATCTATTTTCCATTTATCTAATCTTTCCGACTCCTTTTTTTTCTTTAATACTGATTCGCGAATGATCACGGGTTTTTTGCGAGCGAGAAAAAAAAACTCCGATTAGCGATCAGTTTGTGTCCGCGCGTTACATCTGCGGATGTATTTTTACAAGCGGCTGGAGCCGAATAAGAAAAGGGGCGTGATCGATCGATTCCTGTACTACTAACTATCGAAAATAACTGGCCTTTTGACCCGAAGTATTAGCCGCAGAAACATTAGCGCACCGCTCGTTGTTGCGTTAATTAGCACGTAAATCAAACGTACGTTAATTAATGCATAAGTCAATCGCACAATATGCAGCTGACTAGCGGAACATTCAATATTTATGCAATTGCGATTGTTCTATTCGACTGCTTACCATTTAATCTGTTTTACCCGCGTTTAATAAAAAACGAAACATTTGTTTGAATTTTGCGCGTGAGAGATAGAGAAGAGATAACCGCTACGCATTTCAACAGTATATTTATTAAAAGCCATAATAATGGCTGCAATTGTAATTGTCAGCAAATGATAATTATAGATTTTCCGTGCAGCACATTTCACCGTTTATACTACGGTTAACTTTCGTATCTTCGATTTTATATAAAAATTAATAAGTTTCAACAAAATTAATCTTTTCTTATTTTAAAATTAACAAGTTTCGAAGACACGTGGTGTAATAATAATTAAAGTAGAGCCGATCAGATAGCGGAACCCAAGGATAGCTCTTAATTTTTAATATAAAAAAATTGTTTGCTTCCGTTCGCTTCAACCTACTTTACTAACTCTCGTATCGCGACACGGAACAG